AGTTTTATTTTTTTAGTTTAACAACTGTTTAGTTTTTTAGTTTTATGATAGGACCAAACATTTGGCATTTATGCATGAAATTATCACGTGACCAATTTGTTTGGTCATCATCCTAACACCAAAAGACAAGACATATAATCCATATGTTTACATTTCTACCTAATCGTTGATTTAATTGGAAATTATGTATTTACGTTTATCTAATTAAAATCAGACGTTCTGAATCCGCTACCGCTTCTCAACAAATCCCATGCAGGGTCACGGCAGCACAAGCTATCAATTATGAATGAAAATTTTGAATTAAATAGTTCTTGTAATGAAATAAGAATATGACACTGAAAAATTCATTACACATCGCCGATTTTTTTGGGTATTTTTTTGGTTACCGTGAACTATCTTGCCCTCCAAACACATGCATTTCATTTTCGAAGAAAATCTGCTTGAAAAATGATAACTGCACTGTAACATATTCTTATAACAAACAAATTGACAGACGTGACAGATCTAAAGAAATGTGTTCAACTGTTGTTTTTTGTTGATTGTATATAATATATATATATATATATATATATATATATATATATATATATATATATATATATATATATATATATATATATATATATATATATATATATATATATATATATATATTTCTTTGTGCTTTCTATATTAATATTTCTTCACTTAGGGCAGTTATGTTAGTTTAAGAGTTGTTGTAAAATGTGCTTTATATATATATATATATATATATATATATATATATATATATATATATATATATATATATATATATATATATATATATATATATATATATATATATATATATATATATATATATATATGCCAAAAGCAATAACATCAAAACATACGATCTTTCAACCATTCCCCACGATAAATTAAAGAGCAGACTATTTTACATCATATATATCTGCTTCTTCAATAAAAATGGAAATCCTAAATTTGCATACCTTGTCAATGGTCATCGTTATTTTGTTAAAACATTCTGATTCTACACACAAGTACTCCGAAGTTGATATTTAAACGATGTTTGAGTTTCTCATTGACAATATCTATATATTTTGTATCCGGAGACCACGTCTACCGACAATCTGTTGGAATTCCAATGGATCTAATTGTGCTCTGTTATTAACAGACCCGTTTTTGTATTCATATGAAGCAGAATTTATTAAAACAAACTTCTATATGAAAAGATCGAGTCGCTTGCTGTGGCTCTCAATTCGACATTTAGATACATTGATGACATTTTATCAATTAACAATATTCAGTTTCATTCCTTCGTTGATTCGATACATCCTAATGAACTCGAAATTAAAGAGACCACAGATTCTGCAACATCTACATTAGGTCTGTATCTTATTTGGATGTTTTACAGACTATAGAAGATAAGGGCCAAAAACAAACGAGTTGACTTCAGTTTTTCCATCGTCAATTTTTCTTATTTTCGTATGTCGTAATTCTTCTATCACCTGCATGTGGTGTTTTCGTCTCCCAACTTATTCGATACTCAAGAGCATAAGACAGGCTTCTGACAGATAAGTTGATGTTATAGGGATTTTCATTTTTATTGCTGAAACAAAATCAGGGAGATGATATTCAGACGCCCGGAGATTTAGTTTGACTTCCTGTACTTTAAATTAGGAATAAAATATCATCTGTTGATGAATAAAAATTAGTAAGACGTTTAAATAAATCGACAGAAAAACACCCCATCAACACATTATGATTAAGCTGTTTTGTAGGACAATATACAATTTGTCTATATTTATTGATATTGGTGTCATGTCTAAATTGATCATATTTTGTCCACTTTGCTTTTCAAGATCTTCTTTATCAAGTTAGGTTCCTGCACAGTTACTACGTATACAATTCCGATGTTTCAATTTCTTGGGCCGGGGAATGGTTAATATTCAAAGACACTGAAATAGTTCGCTTGGATGATTCAGTTACATTTATGTATTTTAATAATGTAGTGGGAACCAGAAAAGGACTGACTTGATAGGTATAAAAACATTGCCGTTGTAGTTCTCTTTATTTTTTTCCTTGAACATTTCCACGGTCTGCAATCACAGTCTTAGAGGGCCTATAGTAACAGTTTCTTATGTCATTTCTTATCTATTGACTTGTTTTAAAAACAAATTCGTTTTGCTCTGTTTTTATTCGATAGATTATGATATAAATATTGATTTTCTTTCTTTCTTTATTTTAAACACAGTACTACTATCTTTTCTGCCAATGAAAACAAAACGAAAGGAACAATATGGCCTCACTGTAAAAAATGTGCATCGGTGAAAAATGGGTCATTTCCAACTAAATGTTTTTCAAGGGTATTTTTCAGTATCAGGACATGTAAATGTAACAGCGATAAAAAACGGACTCATGTCCTTTCTCTCTCCCCTCCCCTCGGAAGGGGTGTGAAGATAAGTAAATAAAAGCGGAATGTAAAATTAAGTTTGATAGTTTGAAAAACATATGAGAGTGTTATATGGTTGGGATACTTAATAGGTTATAAACACTTTTAATTATAAATACACAGTTGTACAAAAGAATTTGCTTGCTGATAGGAACTGATACATCGGGGAGAAAAGAAATTATCTTTTGTTCTGTACTTCTTAAATACGAGTTTCAATTTGAAAAAAAAAGAGAAAGTCGATTATCTTGTCACGTCTACGGCAAAGTGAACATTGGTAACAACAATAGGTAAATTGAAAACATGGTAAATGGTTAATTGCTTCGAGTGAAAAACAAAAGTCGTGTATTTACAGCGAACCCTTGTCACTATTTATGTCTGCAATGCCCCGGTATTTGAGATAAAATGTAAAATTAATATGTAATACCTATATATAAGCTGTAAGGGTTATCTCCCTTAATCAAGAGAAAATGTACATAATTATATACTCTCTATGAGAGCATACATGATGTATCGATATGGTGTGATATGATATTGTTGTTTAACGTATTTTATTTCTGGGCTGTTATTTATCATTGCTCACTGTGTCTAAAATAAACAAGACATAAACAAAATAAAAGGTACTCAAGTCTAAGACCATGCTTAAGAAGGACTTATTTAAGACCGTAACTAGAAGCGTTCTAAGATTTTACAATCTTAGAAAACTTACATGTAGGCGGCCAATGTAAAGACGACCAATGACCCCCGTAGAAGAATGACGGGGAGGGGGGTAATCGGAAATTGACTCCCTAGCCGAAGAAAAATGTGAATTTCTGTATAAAAAGAACCCTACGTGGTCAGTTTTCTAAATGTGCAGTCTATAAGAAATTGACCCCCGTTGAAAAATGACCCCCATCCCAACAGAGTGATACAAAGTTGAAAAGAGATGACTGATGCCAAGGTTTGGGTGTCATCGGGTAATTCTCTTGCGTTTTTTCTGAAAACTAGACGAAAACGCAAATAAAATAAAATAAAATTACGTGTTTCTTTTTATTGGACTGAAAAAGGTGAAGATAACGAACAGTGATCGACCTTAAAAATCTATAAACAATACACTTCTGTGAAGAGGAGTATAAAACACGGACCCCTGAAAATTCCAGAGCTGGGATGAGGTGCCTAGGAGGACTAAGCATCCCCTGGTGACCGATCACATCCGCCGTTAGCCCTATCAGGTAGACGGAACAATCCGTAGTCAAATTCAGTATAAAAACAAAGGCCTAACAATTTGTATGAAACAGGTCAGCCAAAATACGACCCAATGATAGGTTATATTTGCTAACAAAATCATAACGATCATCAGATTTACGGAATGCTGACTTTACTTATTGTGTCCTTAGCTCAAAATTAACATTGCACAATAGATACGTCACAGCACTTGGCTATTGGTTAAAGTTGTTATTATTGAAAAGGAGATATCACTCATTCAAATTGAATAGGTGATATTACCTATTTGAATAAGTGATATCACTTATTAGAATAGGTGAATGGAAACAATTTACAACTAGTGTACATTGATGACGATTAAAGATGTCAATTTATCATAAAAGACATTTGAAAGATTTAACGAGAACAACAGATCATCGCTGTATCTTCAGTTTACCTCAGATGAGCATTTTGGTCCAGGGGCCTCTTGGTTTATTACTTTTTTACCCCCCCCCCCAAATAAATAATATCACTAATAAAATCTACAAGGGGCCATTATTCTACGGGGGGTCATTTTTATTCACGTAGGATATGCAGATTTTAAGGATGATTCCACTTTTTCCATAGGCAAAAAGGTCAATTTTCGACGTCGAATAATGAACAGGGGGCCATTTTTCGACGTCGATAAATGACCTCCGGTCATCTTTCGTCTTTACACCGGTAGAGATGACTTAATTATGTCTTAACTATCTCATTCACATATTAAGAACTATTAAATGTTGAATTTCGACGTTAAAACATTCCTCTATTCATATTATTTATTAAAGAAAATAATTACATGTATCTCTATTTAGTACTGATGTAAGAATTTTAGTTTTTCTTGGAGGGAGGATTCTCAACATGGCATACATGTAGATGCAAAATTTTATTTTTAGGATTTTGGAATACTGTTGAGAATACTATTGGGACCTTGGTTATAAGCACTTATCATTATAAGTAAATTGTACACAGTTTTCATGGATTTGTAAGTTCACTGTAAATGTATGATATGAAACAGGTAGAGGAATTGCCAGTGAGTTAGATGATGATGACTGGAAAGCTAATAATGAGTGTCTGTAAATCAGATTCAATGTCGAACGCGACAAGCATGGATTCAGACAGGGATTCACTACCGTCCGAGAGAGAGAGAGATGGAGAGAGAGAGAGAGCTGTTGATAAGTTGGAGACATACGAAAAATTATCTTCTGAAAACAATTCTTTATATGTCTCATGTTATGTAGCTAAAATAGTTTTAAGAAATAAAGTTCTGGTCAGTTATGTAATGTTGTTTATTAGCAAAATGCACAGAAAAATACTCATAATGAGTACACCTTCATCCAAGTTTTCAATAATAATTCTGAAAAATAACAAGAAAAAAAACATTCAGAATTCAAATTCTTAGATTTCCATAACATAAAAAATACTTTATTTTATTCAATTAAATTTGACAATGAATATTTCAAGGGACTTACCCCTCCTTTTCCAAAACCAAATATTGCCGGGAAATATCCAGCACTGTAGTAACCATAGCCACCTCTGTATCCCTGTCCTCCATAGGAACCTCCGCCATATCCATAGCTACCACTATATCTTCCGCCGTATCTATTGTTACCATAGTAACCTCCTCCGTATCCTCTGCCTCCATAGTAACCTCCATATCCTCCATTGTAGTCGCCTCCATATCCTCCGTACCCTCTACCTCCGTAAGAACCTCCATATCCTTTATTGTAATCGCCTCCATATCCCCCGTATCTTCTACCTCCGTAAGAACCTCCATATCCTTTATTGTAATCGCCTCCATATCCTCCGTATCCTCTACCTCCGTAAGAACCTCCATATCCTTTATTGTAATCGCCTCCATATCCTCCGTATCCTCTACTTCCGTAAGAACCTCCATATCCTTTATTGTAATCGCCTCCATATCCTCTGCCTCCAAAGTAACCACCTCCGTATCCTCTGCCTCCATATCCTATCCCTCCATAGTAATTTCCATATCCACTGCCTCCATAGGAATTTCCTCCATATCCTTTACCTCCACTGTAATCTCCTCCATATCCTCCTCTGCTTAAGAGACCAAAGTTTTTACCAGATTTGGAGCCAGAGTAGCCATAACCAAGGGCTACAGAGAGTAAAGCAAGGCAACACAACAGCTTAAACATCCTGTTGATGAAACAAAAAGGTATAAGAGAAGAATGCCTTCAGGTCAATAAGCTACTAATCTATAAGTAAGTAAAAATATATTATCGTTTATAGATTACATAAAAAATTAGATTATATCACTAGTTTATTGTTAAAGTGTTTAAAATTGATTTTCAAAGATCTTATATATTTAGTATTTCTTTATTAATGATTTAAACAGAAGTTTATTGGATGTCATTGCAATGATTAAGTTAAGACAAAATTACTTAAATCAATAATTAAATAGAAAATTGAAAAGAAATATTTAGTCCAATAGTGAACATTGTAAACGGTGTTACTTTATTTAAAAAAAAAGTCTTATACAACTGGAGAAACCTAAAGGGGCCGACTGGGATTTTCATTGCGCAATACTTCGCGCAGCATAGTAAAACAAAGCGTATTTACTTTTTTAAAGCAACTATTTTTACATAGTTTATAAAAATTAACAGATTTGGGAAATCTAAGGTTAAAAAATCTAATTACGTTTTTAAATAACTGATTTTTTGAACGATTTTTCAAATGATGGGTATACAGACGTCGTAATAGTGTGTTTTTGACGTTATGAATAACCGAAGTTCTTTAAGCGGGGTCATTAATTATGCCATAAAATAAAAAGTATAAAATACATGCTCTTGAAATTTTAAACATAGGAAATTGAGAATCTAACAATCATTTTTATTATTTTTTCCTGTAAATCTGTGGTATCTGTCATGTTTTGTTGTACTCCATAAAAACAGGAAAATATCATGATTTTTTACATTTTGAGATGCTCCCTCTGGAAACCAGACGGTAGAATTTTGTTTCATGCACAAAATGTACAATATAGTATTACCCATCAAATAGTATAATTTGAGCAAAAAGTCTACAGTAGCATTTGTATAATTTGCTTCGAAGTGCGAAAAAATGGTATTTTCCTATATAATCCTATAGTAAATGTACCTGTATTTTGAGATGGTCCCTAAAAATATCCAGACGGTAGATTTTCACTAAACTTGGCATGTATACCGAAGTCAATGTAAGGTACATATGGTATAAAATTAAAGAGTTTCTCTATAGTAGTTTTCACACAATAAAACCGCAGTCGGCTCCCTTAAAGAATGGAAATTAGATATAGTTTTCTCCATTATAAATCTTAAAGTAAACACAATAAGCGAAAAAGTATCAGCTTTGTGGGCTCACAAAGAACCAAAATGAAAACCTCTGCAAACATACAACAGAACTCCAGGGGATTGTAACGTAAACAACAAATTTTCATTGATCAAAATAAATATCTTTATTATATAGTCTATAGATAGCCCCTAAATAATCTATACAAACGCAAACGGTTCATAATATATAAATAGTGCACGTTTTTGAGGGTAACAGTTGAAATTGACACCCCAAGGAAAACCATTGTCAACCGACGCGTCAGCGGAAGTTGACAATGGTCTTCCGAGGGGTGTCAATTTCAACTGTTACCCTCAAAAACGTGCACTATTTATTTTATTATACTGAATGCCTTATTGATTTCGGATGTCAAAAAATTCGGAGATCGTCGTTGAGTTCACGCTTAGAAAGCTTTCAAACTCCCCGCTTCTAATTTTCTCAATAAGAAAGCTTCGGAAAAGATTTACCAACCTCTTTATTGTTTGTTTGCTACTCAAAAAGTCCTTTATCGTCTAAAGTTTGCATTCACAAGGATGTTTCGTCTGTCGTTTGTTGTTTTCAAGTAAGCTACATCGGACGCAAGCTTTTATTGACGTCGTTTATTCGGCTTCTTTCAAACGCACAACTGACGCTTTGAGAATTCTACGGTGAACCGTACGCGCATGATTTGAACGCATGTGATATTTTCGTAATGTTACCCGTTGTCAAGTGTGTTGCTAACGCTGAGGGTAACATTACGGATTGTTAAATGCGTCTAAACCAATCAGATTTTAGTATTTAACATGAAAGTATAATAACACTACATATTCACTGGATTTGAAGCCGTATTCACCTGAGGGTCAGTGCTCGTGCAGCGGCATTGTGACGTCACAATCAATACCCCAACGTTGAAAACAATATGGTTACAACGGCCGGAGCCAGGTGTGTATCTGAGCAGGAAAAATGTTAGGCAAGTGTATCGCAGGATTATTTTCCAAACATTTCGATTACACACAGCGAAATGAAATCACGGAAATTATAAGTTGTAATCTGTACGTTTTTTTTCTACGACAGAGGTTCGTTAATGAAAACAGGTATCGCCATGCAGCCTTCAATGTCTTATTTCTTCAAATCCGGACTATAAAATAAAACAATTATGGACTCTTTCGGTGGTGAATATGGTTTGTTGCCTCGGTCAATATTGATATTTTTCTGGTGAATAACAAACCATATTCACCACCAAAAGAGTCCATAATTGTATAATATATATTAGTGGTAAACGGCCTTATGCGGGGGAGGGGGGCACGGAGTAGGTAAGTCAATAATAAAATAAAAGTATAAAGAAGAAGGTGAGCGCAGTGCCTATAGTGGAACATACATGTAAGTGAAAAATTAAATCTCAATTATAACAAAATTTTCTTTGATATTTCATCTAAAATCAAAGTATACTTTATGTAAAATCTCCACAATTTGCAAAAATCTCACTTAGATTGAAATTATTTGCCTATGAAGCATGCACACACTAGAGAGGGCAAAAAGGATCATTTTCTCATACTAAGACACAATTTTTTCGATATGAGTGGATCTTCGCTCCATATTTTTCAAAGTTTATCCTCAAAGTTTGCGAAAATGTATACATTTTTTGGCCAACAAAAACATGGAGCAAAGTCCCACTATACCTTAAAAGTACACTCGCATCTTTCCGAGAAATACTTGAAGTCCATTTAGTAAAGGATCATATCACAAGCAATTTAAATACCACAATTCATCAAGAGCTGTGTAGAGTAGTGTTTGGCGCGTTAGTCTCAATGGAAAATGATATTCATGATTTTTACTGCTAGGGTTCGAACCCCACGAATACCACATTATTTCTTAATAACAGAAAATTTTTGCCGAGAAAATTTTCCTCAGAAAAGTTTTATTTATCATAATTTCATAAATTTCAATAATGAGAACTCTACTCTAAATACCAAAGTCACAAACTGATTATGATTTTTATATATCTGAAGCTATAGGCGTTCTGCGCGCCTTTTTCACCCATCTTGTGACGGTACATATTGTCGTTTTGTACATATTGTCGTCGGCGACAATATGGACCTACCCTCACTGCACATACTGTCGTTCATCGGTACATATTGACGCCGGCGACAATATGTACCGAGACAAGCCCTATTTTCCTCCTGCATAATGGACGACAAAATGTACAGTCAAGCACCAGCACATATTGTCGTCGGCGACAATTTGTACAGTCAAGGTCGGCATATATTGTCGTCGATATATTGTTTTGACGAATATTTACTTGAGAAAAGAAAGAGAGATTGACAAACACACACACGCACGGATGGAGCGTGACAGCATTACTCGCAATACTGTAGGAAAAAAACATTCTGGTTAGAAAATTGTGTCCAGGATTAATGTACATGAATATGACATATCAAGATACCGTAATTCTTGAGATATCTGATAAATCAGCTATTCTTTTTTTTCTTGTAATATATACGTGGTGATTGAATACAGGTATTTTTTTTGTTCAGTAGTAATGATTACTTGGAAATTATTTTTTTTGTGTTATTCGTATAGACGATCATGTGCCGATATAATATTATAAATATAATTATTTGTTAATAATATAAAAATAACGCAAAAAATAACATTTTTAGATCAGTGAACTGAAAGTTCAAGAGAGCTTTACTGATCACATTTTGTCTGACCGTCCGTCTGTCTGTAAACTATTCATAATTTCAGCTTCCTCTCAAGAACTACTGGGTCAATTTCAACCAAACTTGCCACACTTGCATCCGTGGATAAAGGGGATTCAAGTTTGTTCAAATGAAGGGCAATGCCCTCTTTCAAGGGAAGTAGTTAAGAATAAGTGAAAATTTAGTGACTTCTAAAAATCTTCTCAACAACCACTGTGTCGGAAAAGTTGAAACTTTTTTGAAAGCTTCATTAAAAAGTGTAGATTCAGTTTTATTCAGATCATGTCCCTCGGGGGATAGGTGTGGCTACAATAGATGATCTAAGATTTTCATAATATTATGAAAGAATATTAAGAATATTTAGAAATAAAATCTTTCAAAATCTTCTTTTCAAGAACTACTGGGTCAGAATAGATGATACATATGAGAAAGCTTCATAGCGTGCGCTCAATTTTGAGGTGCTGGCTCAAAAAGATCCCTCCCTGCTCAATGATCCTGAGTGCCAAGTATAGGTCTAAATTTCCAGTCTTCCACCGGTAAGTGGCGGCATCTCAATATGAATGAAAAATTCTCGAGAGGGGCATTTTAACAACAAACAAACAAAAACAAAATTTTGTTCAAGTCATGACCCAGGAGTAATGTGGGGCCACAATGGGAGTTTTACATTGGAATATATACAGAAAATCTTTAAAAACCTTCTCAAACATCAAAGACAGATGTAGCATCCCCCCCCCCCCCGCTTGGTGGTTTGATTTTCTTTTTTTTACTTTGGTAAATTTTGTTTGTATAACTTGTATATACTTAGTCCACAGGTAAAATTTTATAATTAAATAATTAACTTAACATATACAATAACACTTATGGACGACAATATGCGCAGTGAGGGAAGGTACACATTGTCGCCGGCGACAATATGAACAGGACGATAAAATGTACAGTCACAATCACGCTGCATGAAATAGCATACGAGACACGTCAGTGTAATTCTCACACCAATTAAATTTACAAAACTACCAAAAAACAACAAAAAACATCTTTAAACAACATCTTTGGGGCGACAATATGTACAGTGAGGGTGAGGCACATACATGTAATGTCGCCAGCGACAATATGTACATATGTAACTTTTCAGTCGGCGACAATATGTACCGATGGAC